GAAATAGATAGAATCTACAGAAGCATTTGTACAAGGTTGACAAGATTCTACACAAAATTAGAGAAATATCTACGATGTAACAAAATGGAACCTGGAACCTTTGAGTTTTTTCCAGTTGGAAATGAACACAATCAAAAAAGGCTATATGCTCAGAATATAGGAGTGATCGATACCCTGAAAGAAAAACAACAGCATTACAAAGAAGGAGAAGAAGAATGGAGGTGCAGAAGAAAATTACCTTTCCCGTCAACAAGGATGCAACATTTTCCGACAAAGAGAAAAGTAGATGAATGGTCGGCTCAACAAAAGATAGAGTTTAGGTTTTTATTTCTTTTTAATCTTTTAATTGTTGTTTATTTCTTTTGGGAGACACATTTTAGGACTGGAGAATTGGGCTTTTGTCTTTATGATCAATAAATCTGCTCCACTGACTGAAAAATTTTAATTAAAAAAAAAAGACTATTTAGGAATAAATTTCCTAGGATGAGATTTTGATCACTTTCGTGATTTGTAATATAACATGGAACTGTTATACTTATTGTATCTAGTTGTATAGGTAAATCTACCATATTTTTACAACTAAAATTGTTACCTTTAAAAGTTTTATAGGTATACTGAGTTCCTTCGTAGATGGGCAATCTATCTATTAGAATTCCTTTTACATGGTTAGTTGTTGCTTTTGTTTGTATTAATATTTCTCGATGCTTCCATTCTATTCCATTGATCCTAAAATTATTTCTACTTTTTCCTTAGACTGTGATAGTCTTTCTTTGTTACCTGTAATTCCAATCATTGAGATGTTATTTTTATTTACATCCCAATTTTTTATTAAAAAGGGTTTTGCTAAACTAGCTTCAGATCCATTGTCTATCTGACAACAGGTTGTTATTCTAGTATCATAGAATGTGATAAGCCTTAAAACTCCTTGCAGACATTTTATCAAAGTCCCAAGAAAATAAAATCCTTATAGTATTGTAATGGATAACGAAAATTATAAAAAGAGATACTTAGAAAACCTAAGAAAAATCTCTTGTAAATGACTTAATCTTGAAAAAAATTAAAGAAAATTTACTGACGCATCAGATTATCATTGGGGAGCATTATTGCAAACCGATTTAAATGAAATTTGCAGATACATAAGAGGTACCTTCAATGAAGCAGAAACAAGATATTCAACGAATGAAAAAGAATTGTTTGCATACACCCAATCTAAATATCCGAATTCAAATAATTGAGCTGTAAAGCCCGGTGATCCATTAGGAAATATTGATATTCTTGGAAACAAACTTGTTGTTCCTAAGACACCGAATGTTTCTCCGCTTTCTTCTGGGAGGTTGTAAATATATCTTGTGAAGGCAAAATATTCTTCCTCCTTTGGGTGCTGTTTGCCAACCTGAAAAGAAGAAAAAACTTTTGCTCCTGATGGAACTTTGTTAGTACTACTTTCTGATTTCCTAGAGATGATTTTTTCAGCTATTGTTGATAATGTGCTTTTTCCTTCTTTCAAAGAAGAAGCATCAACCATTGCTCGGCTTTTTCATATATATATATATATATATATATATATATGAAAGGAAAGAACACTGAAATTTATGGGCTTGATCAGAAAATTAAGAGAAGAAGGTTTTGTGGAGGGAGAATATTGGAGAAGAAAAAGCGAGTGAAAGTTTATAAGGAAATCAAAATTTGATCAACAAAATGGTGTTGAAATAATTGGGGAAGAAGATGATTGTATAAAGGTCAAAAGTGGTTGTCATTGCCTTTTCAGAACCTCTCATGCGTCCAAAATATGTGCGTCACACGCACTTTGGACAAAAATGTCACATAGGATGATAAGTCAAAAAAGGGGTTTAAAATATTGTGTTTCAACGAATTTAAGAGTTCAATTGATAAAGTGATGAGTAGGAGGGTCCAACTGACAAACAGAGTCAAGTACATGGGTCTCCAGGTCATTCCGCTTTAATTAATTAAGTATACTATCTATCTGTGCATATCACATATTCATGTAAATATTTCATCAAACTTATGTCTTGTTAAATATATTGACATTAAATGATATAAAGAAAGCAAAATTTAAAATTGAAGGGAGTAGAAAAAATAAATGAAACTTAAAAAATAATAATAAGCACCAAACAATGCAAAATGAAACAAGAATAAAGATGTAGGAACTGAAGTGGTTGAACTCAAGCATCATATGCATAAAAAAAATAACCAAATGCCCCCTAACATATTATCCAATTCTCAACTACACACTAATACTTCAAGAGAGTCCTATTACCCCCCTTGAAGTCTTTTAAACAGAAATATTGACACCCTTAAGTGTTGACTTGTCATAACAAGTGTTCACTTTCCTGAATGCAAGTGTGAGTCAAATAAATAAATTAAAATTAGTTAATTTGACAAATGTCATTTTTTAATTGGATACTATATAATTAATAAATTATTTAATTAGCTAAAATCACACGCACTCTCTCTAGCCCTTCTCTTGTTTTATAATTACACCTGTGCAACTGTAGTTTGCCATGACAACTCTACTAGAAACACCTATACAATATTTTATCTTCTCATTTTTTCATTGTTTTAAATATGCTTTTTCATTATCAACACATTCAAAATCTTTCTCTAAAAAAAGACAACATAACCGGAAGAAAGAAAAAGATAACTCTTCCATCTCTTCACCTCGATGGAAAACATTTCGGTCCAACATCAAAAGACGAAATTACAGCTTTTTGTCGAAATTGTTTTTTGATTATTGTATCAGTTAGAGTTTTTTTTTACTGAAATTGAAAATGGGTACTAAAATTTGAGATTTGATAAGAAAAAATTCATCTACAGATTCATCAAGAAGGGCAATTAAAAATCAACAAGTGTAGACCTTTATGGCAATAAGATATCATCATAAAAAAATTTAATATCTATGTCAACTTTATTGAATTCAACAATGCCAATTGGGTTTTGTGCAAAATAGTTTATTGGAGAGATAGAAGAAAGGTGAAGGATGATGGTGTAATGGTGATGGAGATGACTGGAGGAGAAGAGACATCTTAGAACAATGAAGAGAAAAATGGGGCAAGTTAAGAAGATAAATAGAATGATAATGAAATTGGACAGTGGTGGAGAAAAAACAAAAACAATGCATAAAAAGAATGATTTTGGTGATGATTTTTTTTTATTTTTTGATTTTGCAAAAAGTAAGCACGAGTATTACACTGGGTAATAAAAAATGAGGAGTGACGTTTTAAGGGTGTCAATATCTCTGTTTAAAATACTTCAAGGGGGTAATATGATCACCATAAAGTATAAGTGTGTAGTTGAGAATTGGATAATAGGTTAGGGGGAGGGGGATTTAGCTATTTTCTCTAACAAAATACATCTCAAAAATAACACTAAATCACCCAAAAATTCAATTTTAGGATACTTAATAACGGGTCTTTTGCAATAATACCATTTGACACAAAACTTATTTGTGAAAATTCAATTTTCAAACTTTGAAACTTCGCATTTCAACAATGGCTAAACACCAATTTTTACTTATAATTATATCGAGGGTTCAATATAGATTAGGTTAATTTGATAGGTCTTCCTATTAATTTGTCTTAGAAATAACATTAATTTATAGACTTATGTTAATAGGAAGGATGCACATGTTGAACTACTTAGGATCACTGATTCAGTGTATATGATATGACAGGAAAATAACAATCGAGTCTTTTAGACCAAGAAGAGAAATCATGTGAGTATTTCAAGGCAAATTATTTAGATGGTGGTGATGCAAGATAATTTGAAGGCCAAATTAATTAGTCAGATTGCAGAACTTAATTACTATCCTTGAACAATAGCTCATGTATAAATGTTTAACTATTGATAAATGAAACTATGTCCAACAACCAGATACTCTATATATAATTTCGTACTTTGGTATATAAATTGTCTTTATTATTAAAAAAATAAAAATAAAATTATAGAACAAACTACGTGCAAAATAAAATAATCTACAGTTAAACAAGAAACTTTTTGCAAATATAAAAAGAATGTTAAAGAAAAAAAAAAAAAACAGCTAGGCTATCCTCTATTGACCCACCCCAATCAACATCACTATAGATTTCAACATTTTTATAGTCATGTTTAGTATAGGATTATTCCTTTGCCAATCTAACCTTTGAGGTATCTCAAGATTCTTTATACTATATACATGAAATGTAATACAAAAGAGTTAGTATTAAGGAAAAAATGATGACATTAAACTTAACATCTTATAAATAAGTTTATAAAAAATAATTTTAAAATATTTGAAAACTTTTTATTTGAGTATTTTCTTTCAAGAAATAGATTAAAAATTAAGGTAAGAAATGCGAAATATGAAAAATAAAAGCTTTCGTTCGTAAAATTAGTGAAAAATGTCTACTAATCTGTAAGCGAGGACGCATTATATATAGTAATTTGTTCCAACTCTAGACATAAACAACAACATGACTAATCATACTTACTAAAAGAATCGATATACAAATAAAGAATTTGTTTTTACATGAAAGGACATATACATATATCTCTAACTCATATTCACGAGATAATAAAATATGGCAAAAATTATTTTGAAATTTAGTCTGCATCAGAATGAACGTATTAATTCACGTAAGGATGCACGTAGAATACCAAAAAAAGTTATTCATGTTCAAGCAAGTTTCAATAATATCATTGTCACTATTATAAATGTACATGATTGAACTTTAATTACAAAAGAATCAAGTTATCGAGGTTGAAGGTTTGTATCAACTTTGAATTAGTTTTTTTTCCATAAAATAAGTTATGTCCAAACTTTATTGATTAATACTCTTAATATCAATTACTTATATTCCAAATTATTTTGCATAATATAAATATTAATTATTTTTTTAAAAAAACGTGTAAAATTTAACATAAACAATAAAATCAAATAAAAGAATATAACTCATACCTACCTCATTAAAATTTAGAAATTAGACGTGCCAAATGAATTTGGGCTGAATTGTCACACACCGTCCAAAAAAGGTATAGGGCTACGTATTTTATTCTGCCCTTTTGTTCTCCTTCCAAAGGAGGCAAACGTCAGTAGAGTTTCAAACCTCCACTCTCCTTCTTCCTTTATACTAACTTTACCGATTCCATTTAGGGTTCTTATCTCTCTCTCTTCATGAATTCCTCACAAATGTCTTGAATTATAATTCCAAGTTTAAAGGCAGACGGCGATACACAAAGAGAGAGAGAGAGAAATGATGAGTGGACCGGCGGTGCACCCAGTGGAGGCTCCGCCGATGACTATGGCGGCACCGATGGTGAGGATGAAGGACTTTCAAGGCATGCCTGGTACTCTTGGAAGCCTCTTTCTACGATTGTGTCAGTTTGTGTTTGCTGTTATCTCTATATGTGTCATGGTTACCACCTCTGATTTCCCTTCCGTCACCGCCTTCAGGTATCCTTCCCTCTTTTGATGCTAATACTGTTTATTGTATTGTGGTTAAAGATTTAATTTCACGAAGATTTCCGTTAATATAAACCTAAGCTATTAACCTGATAAGGTTTTGAATACTTAAAAGACTAAAATCGGTAAGTTATAATTAAAGGACTAAAATCGGTAAGTGTATAATTAAGGTACCAAAGTTGATAAGTTTTTGAATAGTTAAATGACTAAATCCATTAAGTGTATCCTATAGTTAGTGACTATTTATGTCATTTTCTGTATTGTCTTAATAAATATAATGTTTGGATAGATTATATTATTTCGTCTTTACATAATGTCCCTATTATTTTGGTTAAATGATAAAATAAAATTAAACTTTACTCTTCTATTAGCCTAGCTAAAGCTAAATTTGAATGGGATGAATTAGTATTATTAAATAATAAGTAAATACAAAATGAGAAAAGAAAATAAATATTAATTAAATAATCTTCGGAAAATCGAGTACAAAGAATTGTTGGATTATTCTACTACTTCTCAATTATAAACTAAGTGTGTGTTCTTGATAAAGCATATGTAGCTTTAATTGGCTGAGTGGCAACCAATTTTTGTGCAAGAAGGTGTTCACTAATCACTACTACTATTAAACCTTCCGATTTTTTATCGTTTAATTATCTTATCTTTTATGCATGAGCCTAACCTTTCAACCTGGTCTGGACCTTGAAATTTTGTGATTGAGGATGGGGATATAATTTTAGGAGATAAAGTAAACTTCGCTTAGGTGTCCTCCAATCGTGCCCAAATGCAAATAATGGTGTGCTTAGTTGCCTTTTCTAGTGGAATCTTAATAGTATCTGAATAAATTGGGAAAGTAGCCCTATTTAGGTTTGATAGTTTCCCTGCATGGTTCATAATCTCTCATAACAAGATGGTGCTAAAAAAAGATTGCAGGCTTCTACACATAATTTCTTGCTGACGTATTAATTTAGTGGAAAGACGAGACTTTTGCTGACAACTTTTACCTCTTTGAGTTGCATGTGCTTTACTGCCTTTCTCTCAATAGTTTCATGCAAATTTATCTGAACAATGGGTTATCTGTTTCTCATGCAGAGTAGTTAATGTTCTTCTAATTTGGATGCAGTCTACTTCCTGCATCTGTATTTTAATTCACCGAAAGAGATTAATCATGAAATTCTTCTAAAAAAGATAAAAGCACATATATAGCTTCACAACTGAGTCATACTTAAATTAGTGTACACAGGAGTAAGCTGAATGCTTTGTGTGGTATCTTATTATCAGATGAACGGTGTAAACACCCAATGGATTAAGTTAGAGATAATATTGTTATTTTGTCCTACTTCTAGCACACTTTAGTGTTGGTTTAATCAATAAATCTACCTGACACATATTCTTCAGAAAAGAGCTGGGATTTGGATTTAATTTTACCTCCATTTGCTTCTTCTTCTGCCATTTCGTGTATATGATATGTTGTATTGTTAAATGCAATTGCATTCCTTTGGAGAAGGGATTATCACAAGGAATCAAAGGTGCTTTGATGAAAGGATCATATTTTGTTTGTGAAAAATAGATTTATTCTAAATTTTAAAATATGGCATAATGCTTCTCTTGAATTTTGATTATGACATTGACGCAATGTTGGGATACTTAGAACTCCTTCAGATTTGAGGGATCTGTATCCAGTTGACATTTTAATAGAATTATCTTTTATTGATCAACATTGGTTATATGAAGGGATTCTAACCAGTATTCGGAACCCTTGTTTGTTTCAGCTACCTTGTAGCTGCTGTTGGATTACAGATCATATGGAGCCTCGTACTTGCTATTGCCGATGTATATGCAATTTTGGTGAAAAGAAGTTATAGAAATGTAGCAATTGTCAGTCTATTTGCCATTGGTGATGGGGTAAGAAACATCTTTTTGCAAATATGTAGACCATTCGTTCCTCGAGGTTGTTTTCTGTGTTCTCAGTGATCAATCTGTCTTCTCTACCAAAACTTGTTCAGCTGTCCTACTGGGACTTGATTGGCATTTACACTGACCCTAAATGAACTTCTCTTCTATAAGGACTGTTGTTTCTCTCTGAAATCTTTATTTTATTTGCTGACTAGCTGACCTTTTTGAAACATCAAATACACATTTGCCTTTCATGCTACTTTGAAATTCTCACTTCATTTTTGTTTGATAAAGCCTTGTAAAGTCTTAACGTGGTTGGCATTCTTGTCTAGCCTTTTTGAAACCATTTTGCTAATTCCCATTTCGTTCAAGTGAATTATTTTCGGTATAAACCCATCAACGTTAACTCATTAATGTAACACTTTCTAAAGAAGGCTAAAAGGTCCTCATATCTCAAGAAATAAGATATTGATGGAGCATCATACATAGAATAGAGTAGTAAAGATTAACATCAAACTTGCACTTCAAGATTAATCATTATTCCTACAAAAGTCTGTTCCATGATGAAGTTCAAATCCCCACAATACAAACAAGCTTAATATATATCTGGGACAAAAAGAGAAAAGTAACAAGAAGTTTTACAACTTTTGATATTTACTTCCTTTGAAATAGTGGAATGTAACTTGGTAAAAATATCTTCCTTAACTTGAGCTTCCTTCACTAGGGTAAAAGTTCCTACTTAGACATTGAGGCACTGCAACTATAGGAATTCCGTTGAAAATTGCAAAAAATCAATTTGTTTATTGGAGAGGTGAAGAATGAAATTTAGAAGGAATTGAAGAAGGAAAGTGAAGGCTTTAGGCCTTGGAACCCTTTCCATTCTTGCAATTAGAGAATTTTACAACTACATAAAACTGATAGAGAGAAAGGTAGCAAATAGTTTCACAACTTCTAATTAGGACCTTCTCGTACCTCAATAAATGCTTTGAACATTATGCACCATTTGTTATTAGGTGAGAGGTATATGCACCATGTTTTTGACAAGGGGTGCCACTCTCAAATCGCGAAGTTGAGGGGTATATTTGCCCCTTTTCCCAATAAGATATTAAAGAGAATTTCACATAGGATAGAACAGGAAAGATTAACCTCAAATTGATACTTCAAAATGTATCATTATTCCAACAAAAGCCCATTCCTTGATGGTGTTCAAATTCCCATAATACCAACAAAACTTAATACATAACTATGACAAAGAAAGAAAGGTAATAGAAATTTTCACAACTTTTGATCTTCTTGAAATAGCTTGAACTTGGAATGAAATTAGGTAAAGATCTCTTTCTTAGCATGAGCTTCCTTTTCTAGGCTAGGGTAGAAGTCCTTAACAAAAAAAATGGAACTTTTCTATCTGTACCACTTGATAGCATAGAATGACATGAAGAAAAAATCTTCTTCAAGAAGCGCTGCAACTGCAACCTTGTTGAAAACTACAAAAAATTAATTGTTCATTGTATTGACAGAGAGTGAAATTTTGAAGGAATTGAAGAAAGAAAGTTACTTCAGCCCTATAACTACGGTTGCAACTAGTCAATTTCAAGTAGAAAATAAGAGTTTTTGGGAAGAATGCCTCATTGCTAGGATTTGGCATTGCAGTTCAAACTATTTGAAGGATTAGAGACCAAAACTGATGAATCTTTCCCCTTCCCTCTTTGTTTACGTTATGATTTGTGTTAAGCTTGTTTGTATCATCGGAAATTTGAAACTCTATGATGGAGTGTTTGTTGTTGCTACTAGTCTCTTCAATGTCTACATGACTTCTTCACTAACTTTTTTCTTTCCATACTTGATTTTGATATGCTTTACTTGAGCTGAGGGTCTATCAGAATCAACCCTCTATGTTCACAAGGTAGGGGTAAGACACATGCCACCCTCCCCAGACCCTACTTGTGGGATACACTTTGTATGTTGTAATAATCGTGCAAAATCAATTTGTTCATTGATAGAAACCGATCTCTGTGGAAGATTACCTTTTATATTATAATTTGACTTTATGAGAATAATTTTACACTGCTACTTAGAACTCGTCAACAAGATTAGAGATGGTGTATGAGAATGCAACTATGCAAGGTGGAGTAAAAAAGTTGAAGGTTGTTTGATCATTTTCTACACAGATCACCAAATTTAGTCTTTTAGCGCGGTATTAAATATGGTAGAAAGAAATGAGGTAGATTTGAAATCTCTTACATGGAAATTATCTCAAACGATTTTCCATCTTTAGGAATCATTATGGATTTAGCTAAGATATGAATAAACAGAAACAGAAAATCCATTTAGTTAATCCAACAAGTTGTCACTAATGTTAAGTTGTTGTTACACTTATATTAGGTATGGCTCGGGATAAGTTTGAGATTTATAGAACATCTAGATTTAGAGAAACCCTGACACTCATTAAAAGACGGTCTCAGAAGTTAGGATGGAAATATATGGAGAAGAACTAGTTTGGGCTTGAAGGGTGTGTAATTATTATTTGGTTAGGAGAAGTAATTGGATCATCTTTTGCATAGTTTGCATTTGGATACATTGTAACTGCTAGCACCAGTTCTCCAACACTTGATTAGGTCGTTTTCCAAAAATTTTGAGCTGGGTATGTAAGCCAATGCAATATGCATATTTTTAAAATAAGTTATGTTTAAACAAATTGTTTGCGACCTATTGAGTTTAATGGGACACCTGTGGAATGATTTTAATATGTGATCATCACTATGGTTCATCACTTCTACTCATAAGACAAATCTGGTCAGTTTTCTGCTACATCCAACTGCAAGCATAATGTGTTTATATTCAGTTATTGTAAGGAATTTTAATACATATCATTGGCAATCTACAGAATTTTAATGGGGCACCTGTAAAAGAAAGTTCAAATGGTGCACTTGTAGACTGTTTTTTTTAAATAAAAATATGTGATCATCATTATGGTTGATGATTCCACTTTTGTGCAGATCACTTCTACTCTTACATTTGCTGCTGCCTGTGCTTCAGCTGGAATAACAGTTCTTATTAGCAATGATCTTGAGAAATGCAAAGTGAACCACTGCGCGAGATTTATGTCAGCTACAGCGATGGCATTTTTAAGCTGGTTTGCTGCATCACCTTCCTTTTTCTTGAATTTTTGGTCTCTGGCTTCTCGCTAGCTGCAGTTCTGGTCGACTGCAAAAGGACCTTTACGCTACTGCTGTAGGTAGTAGTGTTCTCTTTTTTCAGTCAGGCCACCTTAACTGTTGTTATATGTAAAAATCAGCACATTTCAGTCGTTATTGACAAAGTTGTATAAGATTAAGAACTATTTCGAAATTTTGGCCCGTCATTGTTTTTAATGAGTTTAGTAGATATCTGCAAGCTTGGGTCACTATTTCTGGATGTTCGGTTGAGTTATGTGCCTAGACTGCTCAAGAAGCCTATAACTAGATTATTTTACCATCTTATGGTCACATGTTTCATCTCTTCAGTGTTTTATACTTGCAATGTGGCCAAAACTGCTCATGAAAAAAGACGTGACAGTTTTCAAAATTGAATATCCTTCATATGAAAGTTAAATACTTTGTAATAGTTTGTCTCTACGTTGTGGCTCTGTGTATATATACATGAGAATCAATGTTTAATTATTACATATAATTATAATTTTGATTTTCTAAAGAAATGCTTAATTGTGTCAACATTGAAAAGATTTCAATAACATTCATAAAATTACGTCCAATAATAGGTGTAGACAATGCAAGTTATTGCTCAAAAAATAAGATAATGGATGTTAAATGGACAGAAGGATAATAACAAGAGGTCAATTTATTAGTATACATTTACAAAAACAAATTCTTATACATCAAAAATTCTAAATAAACAAGAACAGCAAATTATCTTCTTTTCTTTTCTTTTTTTTTTTCATTTTGTTTAATCATATTAGGCAGGTAAGAGTCTACTAGTTCAATTAATTCAAATCTGCATCGGAAATAGAATAGATACACTCAAGATATAAAACGCATTCTATTAAACAATTTTTCATTCCGAGACTTCAAATTAAAGATGAAAGAATCTCACTTATGTTTTTACGCCCTAGGGGATGAGGGATAAATCTGTTATTTAGCTTTCTGGAAGCTAATGTGTAGCTTTCTTACCTACCACTAAAATACTACCCAAAAGTCTAACATATATAACTGCAAAGACAGAAACAAAATTTTGTATAATTAGGTTTTTTACCCTAAAAAAAATTCCATAATCGTTTTCTCAAAAGAATTACTCTAAAAGAAGTATAGTTTTTATGGTTAGACAAGTATAATTATTAGCAACACAGTATGCACTGTCTTACTAGTTTGGTAGAACGTATTAGGTTGGATATTAGTGGTAAATTTTAGTACTTATAATGTTTGGTTGAAATCTAAATGTGCTATAATTAATACGCGTATTAGTTATATACTCTACTTGGTACTATTTTAATATATAGTGAACGATAGTAATAACAATACAAGGTATTATTTCTATTCTGATACATCATATTCAGTATTATTTTTATTCTAGTGCACCGTATTCATCTAAAACAATAAATATAAAAATAATTCCACTATAACTAATCAACATGATGTGCATTTTCGCATTTGAAATATCAAAGTCCCAATGCCGTTTCAGTAGTTTTATTCTATCATCTGTTCATAGGGTTGGAGGAAACAACAAATTGTTTTCTCTGTTCTATTTTATGTGATGAAAATTCAAAATTTGAGAATCACATTACTTAATTTTGTTGTGAATTTAGAGATAAAAAATGTTATTTGAAAAATATCTTGATAAAAAACATTTTAGTTCTTCAAATTGTAATAAGTAACATGAAATGAAACAAAAATTATTCTCAATTTTCAAATACCCTTTTAAAGCTAAACTTCAAATACATTTTTTTAATCAAATCTCAATCAAACATGTCCAAACACCTACAAAATCATTTACTAACAATTCTATATTTCGAAAACTTAAATTAAAAGTTAAAAATATCAAGGAAAGAGGATATCAACAAAACAGGAAATATATTAATATAACATAAACTTATGTAAGTCATGATCCTATGCATTGAAGTCTTACTAGTTAAACAAAAGATCAATCTACCCCCAAAATACTAATAAAACACAACACATTAATCCATCAAAACCCCCCAAAAAAGTATCTAAAGGTTTGACCTAACGATCAATAACATTATTATAATAATTATATGAGTTCTCATAAACTTAAGTACCAAAATGATATCTATTCGATATCTATACTGATGAGACATAACAAGTACCACCTCGCGAAATGCCAAGTTACTAATCTTCAAAACCTGTTTGTTTCCAAATAGTATCCCTCACCCTACTCAAATCCCTTCCTTTGAGTGTCCTCCCCACACCTTCATGCACTGAAAATGAAGCCCCTCTTTTCTTAGCCAAATATTCATGAGGTGGAATCCAAGTATCTGCATCCACTTCCTCCTTGTCTCGAATATCATCATTCTTCTTCTTATCACCTAGGATTTTTGACCAATCCGGTATGTTGATTGGCAATGATCTTGCTGGTGGTGGTGATGGTGATCTTTTTGAGATACGCGAAGTAGGTATCAACCTTTTGGACTCAGAGTGATGAGAAATAACATTAGTAGTGTTTTCCCATATGTCAGATTCATCAAACTCAAATAGGAGATCATCAGAGCTAGTTTTTTTATCCATTGATCCAAGAAATTGGAAGTTCTTTCTTGTAGCCATTTTGGAAATGAGTAACTAAAAAGGGTAATTGAGTTGTGTTTATATAAAGATAAGAATATATGGTGTTGGTATTTATTTATTTTGGTTTAGTCTAGTCAAAGAGGGACTTAAATAAGACTTTTAACTTGTAATATAATAGTGAACTTGGACTTCTTTTTATTTCATATTCTTTTGTGCTAATGTATTTTTTTATATTTTTCACTTAATGTCTTATATCTATTCAACTTTTCACTAATTAATTCAAATTCACGTGAAAATACTGATATCTGTTCAATGTTTCACTAATAATTCGAGCTCACATGAAAAGACTGATATCTGTTCAACTTTTCACTAATTAATTCAAATTCACGTGAAAAGTTCCATATTAGGTAAATATTTTAAGTTAAAAGACTTAATATTTAAGATTCAAATTTAAAATATCACATTGGTTTTTTCTTAACTTGGTAAACAATTTATAAATTCAATTTATAAAATAGTATATTATTGTATTTCTTTGTTACACTCTTTTCTTAGTTGCATGTTAATTAAAAAAACAAAGATGTATCTTTATCTTTGTTTAAAAGTTCTTTTAATTAATAAATATCCTTTTATGTTCCACTTACATAATTGTGAGCTTTTATTCTTATCCTTTGTTATTTTTATACTTTTTCCTTAATAGTTCATAGTTGACTAGATTAATCATCCAAATTAGATCCTATGAAGCTCAATCTCAAATATGGCATCGAAATATGTTAATTATTATAAGAATTTTTAATTTTATTTCATCTTCATTTTCTCTTTGATCAGGATTAGTGCCATTTTTCGAGTTATTGATATGGAATTTATTTGAATTCAATATTTTCGACATAGAGAATACATCATTATATAAGAAAATATGAAAGTTATAATATATAATAAATAGTGAATATGAACTAATAATTTTAGAATATACTACTAAAATTTTAAATACTGAATTTTAGAACTTAAAATTTTTGAATACGTGTCTGAGTCATGATTTAAATCATGTAATCATGTAAATATATACCTAAGCATAGAAGTCACAAGATCCATGTGAAGATCCTATATTGCATATTCATCTCTTCACGAGGTAATTCACATTTAATATATTTAGGGAAAATATAATGGATTGCAAAAATATTTAAGAAACAAATATATGAAAGTAAATAACTATGATTGGAATTTTGCTTTAATTAATTAGATCTCAACTATTAATTCTAAACCATGACATGTTTCTTCAATCCAAGATAGAACTTGAGAAAAATAGAGAGAAGAAAAATGGAGAGGACCGAATCCCATTTATATCAGGCCACATAGTCACCTAATAATTTAAATGCATTATAAACTCATAATAATAAATAAAGTGTACATGACCAGTAGAAGATCAACTTCGTCCATGTACTGTATCGATATGGTATTCGATTCTCCAAATAATAATATAAGTGCATACATTGGCGTGATACTCGTCCCTCCGTAATAGTAATACACGTATAAATTATATGACATACGAATATTTTTTTGTTTGGTGTGGGGGGGGAATAGGGATGGTAGGGGTTGGAAAATCTTAAAATTTGAGATATGAAATTCACAGTGTAAAGAATAATTTGATGATTAGTTTATTAGTACTTCAATCTGAAAAGACTAAATGAACAAATGTGAAATTCATAGTGTAATGCATGAGTCTAGGGAGGCTAATAAATGATAATTAGTTTATTAGTACTTCAATCTGAAAAAAATTCACAGAAAATTTATTTTGATACTGTTTTTAAATTTCTTTTTGTACATATATTCATTTCAGACATGTCAAAGTTAGGTTTAAAAATATTGCACTACATACACTGTATTTCAAGTTATATATGAATAAAGTTCATTTACTTTTTAAGGTTAAACATTAATTATTTTTGCATGAATTTATCTATTTACGTATGAAATTCATCCGTATACCGCTAAATTCAAACCAAAAAAATTGAAGTCAAGCATAAAATGATGAGGCACAAAATATTTAACTTCGGTCATATATATCTTAACTTTAATTATTGAAAGGGTTAGGCCCACTTTGTTTTGAAGTGTTCCCTAAAAGAGGAGAAAAGTATATTATTTAACAGGATTTATAATTTAAGGAGATGATTCTTTTTTGAATTATGGAGTCGGGTGTATATGTAAGAAGTTTGCGAACATTAAATGTGTTATACCAAATGATTGCTTGTATGAACAATATGTTATATTCAGACGCAAAATTAATAACTTCGATGGCATATATCAAAAGTTATTTTTAAAAGAGATTTCCAAAAATATATAAACTTCGACTATGATTTAATTGTTACTTTCCAAAATTAGCTATGTATTTTGTTGTTTTTATCAAATAAAAATGACGGGTAATACGTGGATGAAAGAAAAGGTCCGAAAATGGACAAACAAAGATTGGGCCAATGATGGACTTGTAGGTGGGCCTCCAATTTCCAATGGGCCCCGGTAGGCCCATTCCATCAGTCCACCACAATCATCATCATTATCACTATACTTTTGTAAGACTTCAAATGGGGTCACGAGCCAAGTTCCGAATTGGGGATTAAAATTCGAGTTATTTAACTAATATAGTTATAGTTTTCATTAATTATCACTCGCAACTTAATTTTAGTTATAATTACATGTCCTCTCTCCTCTCTTCCTCTGTCTCGCCTCTCTCCTCTCTTGTACATATACAAATTGATATGATTGTATACAATTTATTCATTGATACAAACTGTATTTCGTCAATACCATTGTATTCATTTGATACATATACATACTAATTTTTATTTTATATATATATATATAGACACACGATTATGCACATATAGAAATACAATCACTGTCAGTGACATATATACAATTATCTGAAAGATATACAAACACAATTCATCTTTCTCTACTCTCTGCCCTCTCTAGCTCGCCTCTCTCCTCCTTCTGCCAATCTTGCTCACCTATCTCCTCCCTCTAATATGTATCTATGAATCGTAATCAGCAAACTATAGCTATAAAAACTAATTAAGTTTATTTTAGTGGCTATTTGCGAAATTTCCTCATTTATTATTGCTTAAAAAAAGAAATGTTCATTAATCATTATGTAATAAAAAAACAAAAAAAACAAAAATAGAAGATTGCGTATCATCAACAATTAACCAAACTTGTGCTATAATATAATGTATATTGAAAAGGAAAATTTGTGCTGCAATGTTTGAACAATTAGAGCAACTATCTTTATTTTTATATTTTGGTCATTGGACTTTTAAGTTGACCACTAAAGTTCAAACAATTTTAAAACCAATCACGAATGTGTCTTACCATAATTATGTCTTATTCCAAGATATTCGCTCATATCATCGTAATGTTCCTTTGACCTTTTATATTATTCTTTTATTCGTTTCTTGATCATTTAAAAAAAAATACTGTAAAATAATAAGTTTAATCTTAGATAAAATTATAGTTCAAACTTTGGGAAATGGGAATGGATTGCTTTTTACAGAGACTATTTTATCTTTATAGTGAGATTTTTCGATATAAATTTAAATTATTAAATTTTAAAACGGATATATACTGAAATCATTTTTTCAAATTTATCTTGCGAGTATGAAAAAATGTGATTTTTTGATAAGAAATGCTTTGCCTATGTCAAAAATCCTATACTCACTGTTTCTTTTTAGTTGTCCTGTTGCGTTTTTCGATAGTTTATGTATATAATTTTTTATGTCAAAATCTACAAGGAATTTTGTAAAACACTCAACTTCTATATGATTATTTTAGTGATGGAAGTACAACAAGCAAGAACGTCAATGGATGCAAAATGTCAACATAAAAAAATAAAATAATTAACATATAGTCGGCAACTCATCAACCTTATCTCTTCAACATTAAATTAATTAATTTACTATATGGTTTGCTTATTAGGGGAATAAATATCTCCTATAAATATCCCCCATAAAACCAAATAAATGCAACTCATCAAAACAAGAAAATTTAGAAGAAAAGACTATGGAGAAGTTAACTCTTGTGGTTGCTTTCTTGCTTCTTGCATCATGTATGTTTTCCCTTATTTCCCTCTCTTTTTAATTATAAATTCTCACACTTAGGTTGTGTTCGATATAGAAGGAAAATATTTTCTGATCTTTTCATGTTTAATTGGTGATTTTTTTTTTTAATAAAATACGTTTTTTAAAAGAAAATAAGTTTCTTAAATATCAAAGAAAATGAATTTGTTTGTTGAAATAGTAGCATATAAGTCTCTTCTAATTTTTTCATGTTTGGTTAGTGAAGATTTTATTTTTTTTCAATAAAATAATTTTTTTAGAAAAATAAATTCCTTAAACATCAAGAAAAGGAATTTGTTTGTTGGAATAGTGGCATATAATTGTCTCTTCTGATTTTTTCATGTTTGATTAGTGAAAATCTTTTCTATTTTTTAAATAAAATACCATTTTTAGAAAAATAAATTTCTTAAACATCAAGAAAAAATGAATCGGTTTGTTGGAATAGTGGCATATTATTGTGTCCACCCACCCACCCCCCTCCCCCGGTCCCCATTGTTTGTTAAGAAGGACTTTATAGCATAATCGGTCAATTCCACTTCTCCACCCTTATACTATTTGTATACTTAGATTATTTATAAATTATTTTGGTACAATATCTTTTACTTACTAATTCTCATATTTATATGTTTTTACTTTCACTATAATTAAAATATGCAAATTTTCGAAGGGATCAGTCGAAAATTAGCTCATATGAAATGTTTTCAACAGACTTTTTATCGAAAATAACATATTTCAAATGACGTTTTGATAGAAATTCACTTATTTTTAGTAGTATTTTCTTTTTCCTATTTATTCAGTCAAAAAATAATGTTTAATTATTTTATATGAACAGTGATTCAACCTCTCACGGCTCAGTCCGGTTGCCCAGGTTTGATTTTTAAAACTCTTCTTAATTTATCATATAGTATATTGCTAAATTATTCGCGCATATATAATATTTCTTATTTATTTTTCTCATAAATGTATAAATTATTATAGGAGTGACAAAAGATAGATGGCCAGAACTTCTTGGAGTACCAGCAAGATTGGCTAGGGAAACAATTCAAAAGGAAAATCCAAGACTAACTAATGTTGGAAATGTACTAAATGGTTCTCCTGTTACACAAGATTTTAGATGTGATCGAGTTCGTCTTTTTATTAATGTTTTGGATTTTGTTGTACAAGTTCCTCGGGTTGGTTAACGAGAAAAAATATTTATTTGTATCGACTGTATACACCAACCAGCCCTAACAATAAAAATTGAAGCCCTATGGTTAGTGCTCCGGGCTTGTAATTCAATATTTGGTGATAAATAAATGTGGCTTTCTTTTATTTTGTTTTTATTCTATTTTAGTCATATGGATCATTTGCTTATAATTAATTATTATTTTGTCAAAATCTACACGGAATTTTGTAAACACTCAACTTTTATATGATTATTTTAGTGATAAAGTATAGCAAGGAAGAACGCAAGTGGATGCAAAATGTCAACATAAAAAAAGGGAAAATTTTAGAAATAGCATAGTTTTGTTTGCTATGGAGGCTGCAGTTTGTATATTTATGTCCGTTTGTATATTTCGCTTATGAACACATAAATAGGGTTAAGTATATACAAATTTTGTATTTATACATTAAGGAATTTTTCAGAACTTCGTTTGTATATTTCGCTTGCCAATATACAAACAAGGTGATTTGATATGGTTTTTTCATAAATCTTATACAAATAGTTAGGATAAACATATACAAATTCTGGATTTATACAATTTTTTCAAAACTTCGTTTGTATATTTCTCTTGCCAATATACAAACAAGGTAATTTGATATGATTTTTTCATAAATCTTATACAAATAGTTAGGATAAACATATACAAATTCTGGATTTATACAATCAAGAATCGAATTATGCAAATTCTGGAATTATACAAATCAGGCGAATAACAAGAATTGAAGAAATTGTAGCCGCAAATTACAATTTTCTTAAACTCTAGCTATAATACCTAATATAAGCTAAATGTTTGCTATTATGCAAAATTTTCCCTAAAAGAAATAATATTAATAATTACATTAAATTAATTAATTTACTATATGGTTTGGTATTCTGCATTATTTCCCCTAAAAAATAATAATAATTACATTAAATTAATTAATTTAGTATGTGGTTTGCTTAATAGATGAACAAGTATCTCCTATAAATGTCTCCCATAAAACCAAATGAATGCAGTAACTCTTAAAAACAAGAAAATTTAGAATAAAAGGCTATGGAGAAGTCAACTCTTGTGGTTGCTTTCTTGCTTCTTGCATCATGTATGTTTGCCCTTATTTCCCACTCTTATTAATTCTCACATTTAGGTTGTGTTCGATACGGATGAAAAATATTTTCTTACTTTTGGTTGTTGATTTTTTTTAATAAAGTACGTTTTTAGAAAAATCGTTAATGCTCCTGAAATAATATTTTCTACTTAATATGCGTCGCAAAGTTGACTTGTCGCAAATTTTTCGACAAAACTTCCCATCAAAAATTACATATTTCAAACCGCGTCCCAACATAAATTCACATATTTTTAGTAATATTTTTTCTATTTATTCAGAAAAAAAAATTAATGTTTAATTATTTTGTATGAACAGTGTTTCAACCTCTCACAGTTCTGGCCACTTGCCCAGGTTTGATTTTTAAAACTCTATTTAATTTATTCCAATAATATACTGCTAAATAATTTGCACATTTATAATATTGCTAATTTATTTCTCATATATGTATAAATTATTATAGCTGTGATAAAAGATACATGGCCAAAGTTTCTTGATGTACCAGCAAAATTGGCTAAAGGAAACAATTCAGAAGGCAAATCCAACACTAACTAAAGTTGAAAATGTACAAAATGGTTCTCCTGTTACACGAGATTTTAGATGTGATCGAGTTCGTCTTTTTATTAATATCTTGGAAATTGTTGTACAAGTTCCCCGGGTTGGTTAACGAAAAAAAATATTTATTTATATCGAGTATATACATCAACCAGCTAGCCACAGGAATAAAACTTTGAGCCCTATGGTTAGTGATCCATGCTTGTAATTCAATACTTGGTGATAAATAAATGTGGCTTTCTTTTATTTTGTTTTTATTCTATTTTAGACATTTTATTATTTGGATTAATTAAAGCATAAGTAGTTATTTTGAGATAACTTCCAAAACATATTGTATTAGCTTTTAAATATTTGTGTATTTGTGTGTGTAGATGGAAGTTTTCGTAATTCCTTAATTAGAGAAGTTCTTTAATTTCTTTTGTTCAAAATGGAAATTGTGACAAGTATTTTGAAATGGAGGGAGTAGTACTCCCTTTGTTTCATTTTATTTGGCCCTTGTATTAAAATATAAATGTTTCATTTTACTTGTCCATTTTAGCAAACTAAGTGTTATTCTTAATACTTACACCTTGTTTGGATGTTTGTTACCCGTTGTGTTGTATTGTATTGTTAATTTAAATACAATGTTTGTTTTGATTGTTACTTAAATTTTATTGTATCGTATCGTTTAAATTCATCGTTAGGTAATGAAGAAAAGACCCATTTTATGAAACAACCGATTTGGTGTGATCGCATCGTTACCTTAAATATCTTGTCCTCATTTTATCTTTATTTATTTAATAATCATATTTCATCTTTTATCCTATACTTTCATAATAGCTCTACTCCGAACCCTACTTTTCTTGTAGGTTTATCACTCAAATTATGGATGTATGACATTATGTAACGAACGATACAATTTATCTAAATACTATATTCATTAAAACAATATATAGTATGATACAATACAATATAATAAATTATGAAACATACGTAACAACCATCTAAACAAGGTTGATTTAGTAAAACACACTTCTAATTATTTTTTAAGAAAAATGTATCAAATTAATATAGATCAAGTAATATGAAATGGATGAAATAGTGATAATGTTAGGTATCATTAATTTGCTTATAGGGTGTGCCAACTTTTATACGACTTTTTTAGAACGTCATTAATGGATGCAAATTTTAAAATGTCAACAAATGACTTCTAAACTTTATTTTAGCAATGTAACTAGTGGATAAGTTTAAGTTGCAATTTTTGCGTAATTTCTCTTATATTAATTATTATTAGTCTCCTATACATACCCCATTAAACCAAATGAATCCAACTCACAACACACACACAAAAAAAACACAAAAAGAGTAATATGGAGAAGTTAATTGTTTTCTTGCTTCTTTCATCAAGTAATTAGTCCTTATTTTTCTCTCTTACTAATATCAAAAATTTATTTTTATACTCCTACTATTAAAAGTGCTAAAATCTTTCGAAAATTAGCTCGTCGGAAATTCTTTTGAACTTTTTGATATGCACAGGACTCGATTACTCTGATACCATGTTGAAGTGTGTGACCTTCTCATCTAAAAATTTAAGCGAGAGAACATACTTTTATTATTTAATTATATTCTCAACAGTTTCTTTGCATATTTATTCAAACAAAAAATAATGTGAATTATTCTATATGAACAGTCTTATATTCTCAACAGTTTCTTTACATATTTATTGTGACAAAATTTAATGTGAATTATTCTAAATGAACAGTGTTGATTCAACCTTTCACGGCTCAGTGCCCAGGTTTGTTTCTTAAAATTTATTCCTATATCTAATATTATGTCACCAAATTATTTGTGCATATATATAAATTATAATATAATGTTTTTTAATTTATTTTTTCCTTATGTGTAAATTATATATAGGATTGAAAGTTACATGGCCAGAACTTGTTGGGGTACCAGCAAAGTTCGCTAGAGAAACAATTCAAAAGGAAAATTCAAGACTAACTATTGTTCCAAGTATACTAAGTGGTTCTCCAGTTACAGCAGATTTTAGTTGTAATCGAGTTCGTCTTTTTGTTAATGTCTTGGATATTGTTGTACAAGTTCCCCGGATTGGTTAGCGAGAAAAAATATTTATTCGCATCGAATGTATACGTCCCCAATAAAAATTGGAGCCGCAGCCCGTATGGTTAGTGCTCCGTGTTTGTAATGCAATATTTGGTGATAAATAATTGTCGCTTTCTTTTTATTTTGTTTTTGATTTAGCCATTTTATTATTGGATTAATTAAAGCATAAGTAGTTATTTTTTACCTTTTGATTCTCTAGTAATATGAATATTTTGAGATAACTTCCAAAAACGATTTATAGGTCCTAATAATTGATATAGTGAGTTTATCATTTTATCTCTATTAATGATAGGGTCCCGATAGTGTATTTATTTACTATATTTTTCAAAATAAAAATAGAAAACAAATTAGTAAATATTTGACAAATAAATCGGAACAGAGGGAGTATATATCATTATTTTGCTTAGGGAAGTGTTAAATGGCCAGAAAATTTGACCAGAATTTGGCCAGAAAATTAAAAAAACTATAAAAAAAAATTATTTTAAAATAAACTGATTTTTTTTTCATTTTTTTACTTAAAAAGTGTTAAAGTTAAAAGGGTTAAAATGTTTAAAAAGATAAAATAACATAGATAAAATATCATTCTGACCAGATTTTTTTGGCCAAAAAGATTTTTCCATTTTGCTTAGGGCATCTCAAACCCAAACACCAAATTTTATACCAAATTTGGTGTCAGCAATATTTTTTATGTAATCAACTCCAACCCACTACACCAAATTTTACACCAAAAAGGAATATTTTTCTCTCTTTTCATTATTATATTATTATTTCTTATTTCATTTATATTTTCTTATTTCATAAAACAAATTCTTTCTAAAACATTCACCATATATAATTCATATTATTTCCTTTTATAATCGTTTAACATAAAATTATTTTGTACCAAAATTTTTTAAAGAATATAAATTGCTAGCAAATATTATACATTATACATAATAATGGATAATACAAATAAAAGTGAAATCATTAATGAAATACAATTAAATAAACATTACATAATTGAAAAAATTATTTTAAATTCTACATAAATATTCAACTTTCAAGATTACTACGGTGCTCCCATAAATTCTCTATTAATGCGTTACGTAGTTCAAAATGAGCAATGTTTGCATTTTTAATTTTTGTGAAGGTTAATTGTAGTTATATCCAATTATAATTTATAGTAGAATCAACATAATTTTTTTTTTTAAAAGTCATATATATAAAAATTAATATTATAAAAATATTACATAAAAAATAATTAAATATACAAGAGATTTAATTAAAACATACAATTTATATAATGTTTAATTAAAAGTTTGTATAATGAAATAATATTAAAATATTCAAAAAGTGAATTGGTGTGATGAATAGTGTTACACCAAATTTGGTGTAACACTATTCACACACCAAATTTGATGTAAAATTTGATGTGAATTGGAGCTCAAAATACCAAATTTGATACCAATTTAGAATTTGGTGTTGGGTTGGAGATGGTCTTATAGGAGGTGCAATTTTTCCTACCTAAGTCTGCACGGAATTTGGTAAAACACCCAACTTCTATACGATTTTTTTAGTGAAATACTACAAACTAGAACGTCAATGGATGCAAATTGCAAAATGTCAACAAATATAAATCAAGTCACTAATTGATCTCCTATTATAAATATCCCCATAATTAATTTTTTTAATGTAACTCATCAAAAAAAGAATTTTTTTCACATAAAAGAGTAATATGGAGAAGTTAACTCTCATGGTTGTTCTCTTGCTTCTTTCTTCATGTACGTTAGTCCTTATTTCCATCTTTTTAGTAGTATTTTTCACATATTTTTCTACTTATTCGAACAAAAATTGATGTAAATTATTCTATGAACAGTCTTTATTCAACCTCTCACGGCTCAATCCAGTTGCTAAGGTTTTGTTTTTAAAACTCTACATCTTATTATATATACCTCTATATTACTATTACGTTCTTTGATAGCTGGATAAGAAATAAGTTATTCATGTATTTATACGATGTTTGGTAGATAGATAGGAGTTTAAGTTATTCATGTATAAAATTAATACGACGTTTGATTGGCAATTTAAAAACTCACATAACTAATACATGTATAAGTTATGAGATATACTATTTTATACAGGATAGAAATGGAATATCAATACATGTATAACTAATTTGAAACCAACTACCAAACTACTACATGTGTAAAATAGTACATAGATTTACTTAAAACTAATTTGTACATTACTAATATCTACGTAACTCTAACCAGCTACCGAACGATCCCTAATTGGATGTGCATATCTAATGTGTTTTTTTTTCCTCATATATGTATAAATTTATAGGAGTGACAAAAAGTTCATGGCCTGAACTTCTTGGGGTACCAGCAAAGTTGGCTAGGGAAATAATTCAGAAGGAAAATCCAAAACTAACTAAAGTTCTAAATGTACCGAATGGTTCTATAGTGACTGCAGATTTTCGATGTGATCGAGTTCGTCTTTATGTTAATATTTTGGATTTTTGTACGAATTCCTAATATTGGTTAACGATAAAAATATTTATTTGTATCGAATGTATGCATCTATAGTCTAAAGAAAATAAATTGGAGCCATATGGTTAATGCTCCATGGTTGTAATCCGGGTACTTATTAGAAAATCTACTAAATAATTATAAATAATTGACGATAAACTCAATTATTACTCCAGAAGCCTTAATTCATCCGATTGTTAATTAACTAGTTATGTGTATTCCGATATTTAAAATGTAAACGTGGGTCCTATGAAATTGAAAAACCAAATTTATATAATATAATGTATTGAAAAAGAAAAATTGTACTACTAGAATTAATGTTTGTACGATTAGGGCCACTTTCTTTGTTTTTTATACTATGATTTTTGGACTTTTAAGTTGATAATCAAAGTTCAAACTTGAAAACCAATTAGAAAAATATGTGCTATATATATATGTCTTTTTATTCAAATATTCCCCCCATCTTATTTAAATAATTATATAAAACAAAAAATTTCATACATTTAGATATGATTTGAAATTGAAACTTTATTTGGACATGCATGATTTTTAAAACTTTTAAATTATATTTTTTTCATAAATATAAAATCTACAATTTGTGAAAGCTACTCCCTCTACTCATATACGATTGTGAAATCAGGAACTATATATAGTTCTTAATATCCTAAGAAAGTTGCATTGATAAATTGCATATACCAATATTTCTTTATAAATAAATATTTGTGATTATATACTATTACAGACTTTCAAGTACATATAGTTTTACAAAAAACAACTGGTACCAAAAATCATCAAAAGTAGTATAGATAATATAATCATTGCACATGATACGAACAATCTATACAAGTCTAGCATATGTCTTTTATTGCAAAACATAAAATGTTCGATCTTCTATTGCTAAAATATAAATTTATGGTCAAATTTTACATTAAAAAATAAAATCACAACTTAAAATTTGAAATCTAACTTTAAAAAAAAAATTGAGATTAGAAATTGAAATTAAAAGTTCATTCACATTTTATAAACAAACGTCGATTTCAAATCAAAATAACAAATTTGAGGCCCAAATTCTATGATCAAACGTCTATTACTCTTTACATACGTACATTTTTTAATAGAAAAATTAGACTCTTAGCAAACACTAAAATTAATACAAGTACTTTCATGATTAATTAATTAAAGCCTAAATCTTGACTTTAGTTATATGGATCATTTGCTTACACCGTACGTGTTGGAAAAATTTTTTCTCTAAATCTACACGGAATATTGTAAAACATTCAACGATAATACATTTTTTTAGTAATGGAGTACTACAAGAACATCAATTTTGTACAAAATGTCAACAAATAAATAAAAATTAATTAATAACATCCTATAGTCAACAACTCATCACACTTATCTTCAACATTATTTATTATTAATAATAAGCTATGATTGCTTAAAGAAACACTATTTTCCCTATAAATATCTCCATAAAAACTAAATGAATCTAACACACATAAAATTAAAGCAAAGTAAATTAGATAAAAGACTATGGAGAAGTTAACTCTCGTGGTTGCTTTCTTGCTTCTTTCATCAAGTAATCAGTCCTTATTCTCCTCTCATTAATTCCCACATTTCTTTTTTTTTTTCCTTTCACTATTAAAAAAACGTAAATTTTTAAAGGACCTTTTAACTTTTTGTCAGAAATTCCATATTCCAGTGTTTTGACGATGCATCTTTTAGTAGCATTTTTCACATTTATTTCTACTTATTATTGAAACGAAAATTAATGTAAATTATTCTATAAACAGTCTATATCCAACCTCTCACGGCTCAATCCAGTTGTCCAGGTTTGGTTAATAAACTCTTCATCTCTTGCTTATAGTAATTCCTATATATTATTATAAATTTATAATTATTATTACCTAATTGTTTGTGCATGTATAATTAATGTTTCTTACTATTTCTATCATATATATATATATTAATCATAGGGGTGAAAAAGGATACATGGCCAGAACTTCTTGGAGTACCAGCAAAGTTGGCTAAGGGAATAATTCAGAAGGAAAATCGAAGACTAACTAATGTTCCAAATGTACTCAATGGTTCTCCAGTCACGAAAGATCTTAGATGTAATCGAGTTCGTCTTTTTGTTAACGTGTTGGACTATGTTGTACAAATTCCCAGAGTTGGTTAATTCGGGGAGAAAATTTATTCACATCGAGTGTTTACGTATCTGTCTGTTTAGCCCAAAGAAAATAAATTGGAGTCGTATGGTAAATGCTCTCCATGCATGTAATATACTATTTTGTGATAAATAAGTGTGGCTTTAAGTAGAAATATATCCCTTTTGTTTAAGATGAATTTTATTGATCGCAAGCTAAAGACAGTATAATTAAATGTTGATCAATATTCAATATACAGACAATTGATACAAGTCTACTCATTTATATCAAGAAAAATCAATCACAAAATAATTAAATGTTTAATAGATAACTGGC